GTAGGGTAGCACTTTACATTCAGAGCACAACATCATAGACACAGTGTGAAGCAAGGCATGGGACAGGAAAGGGTTAAATATTCTAATAGAAATATTTGTGAATATTTTGGGGGGTGCTTTAGAGAATATGGGGGTGAATGGTGTGGATTCTCCCAATTATACAATATAATGCTTTGGGGGAATATAGGAGCTCTCATTATATAGATTGGGGGGAGGGGGAGCCCTCTTTACACAGATTATGGAGGGGGGGGCTTTCCTTGCACTATGCACAGATTATGGGGGCTTTCCTTGCACAGATTATGGGAGGCTTTCCTTGCACAGATTATGGGGGCTTTCCTTACACAGATTATGGGAGTGGGGGGCTTTCCTTGCACAGATTATGGTGTTATTGGTTGTGATTCTATTAATACTGTGTAATGCTTTGGGGTGATGTGGGGGGCGCTCTTACACAGATTATGGGGGCTTTTCTGACACATTAATGGGGGTGGATCCTAACAGATTAATGTGGGGGGCCTCCTTACAGAGATTAATGGGGGGTTGGACTCCTTACAGAGATTAATGGGGGACACACTTTACAGTGATTAATGGGGGGGCCTCCTTACAGAAATTAAGCCTCCTTACAGAAATTAATGGGGGGGGGGCCTCTCCTTACAGAAATTAATGGGGGACACACACTCCTTACAGAGATTAATGAGAGTGGCTCCTTACAGAAATTAATTGGGGGAGAACACTCCTTACAGAGATTAATAGGGGGGCTCCTTACAGAAATTAATTGGGGGGGGGGGCTCCTTTATTGATTGTGATTCTCCTATTAATACTGTACAATGATTTAGGGGTGAACTATTACAGAGGGGTTATACCAGCTTTATTAACCCCTTCCTTACCGGTTATCTGTAGATTGGACACACACCCTGACCTGCTGGAGCAGCATGCTGACATAGGGATCCTCCATCTTGCACAATCCTGTGTTATTTACACCCCCCACACCCCCCTTTATATAGGAAGGGTGCAGAGCCAGGGCTGTGCCAGCAGGGGGAGCCCACAGACCAAAATAGAGGAACAACAGGTGACCCCAAGTGTCTCAGAAGGTTAAAGGGACACTTAAAGTACCACTCTAGGCACCCAGACCACTTCAGCTTAATGAAGTGGTCTGGGTGCCAGGTCCAGCTAGGGTTAACCCTTTTTTTTATAAACATAGCAGTTTCAGAGAAACTGCTATGTTTATAAATGGGTTAATCCAGCCTCCAAATCCTCTAATGGCGGTCTCATTGACAGCCGCTAGAGGCGTTTGCGTGCTTCTCACTGTGAAAATCATTATGAATGCTTTCCTATGAGACCGGCTGAATGCCCAGGCAGCTCCTGCTGCGCATGTGCATACAGGAGAAGAGGAGGCGGAGAGCTCCCTGCCCGGCGCTGGAGAAAGAGGTAAGTTTAACCCCTTCCTCTCCATCCAGCCTGGCGGAAGGGGGAAAAGTGTCTGTTTATAAAACGAGTATGTTTTCCTGGCACTATAGTGGTCCTTTAACTGGCCAAAATTAGTATTTTTTTAAATCTCTTTTTAGTAGATATACCCTAAATGAATACATACAGGCATTTAATGCATTATTTTTCATTGTGGGTGTTAAGACACCCACAGCTTAAATGGATGAAACCGCCGTTTAGCCGATATTCCCTCTTTCCAGAGACACAGGCTCTATACAGCAGACCGACAAACTCCCGAACGGAGTGCAAGGGAATGCGGTAAATCCACAAACACAAAATCAGCCGAACTCCTTCCACGACTAAAACAGGCAAAATAAATCCTTACAAGTAGCAATCCCCCCAAACACGAGACCAAGCTCCGTTTTGAGGGTAAAACAGGAATTTGTTTAATGAGGGCTACCTGCCTGGTATTTATGCAGGTCTCCCACCTGGTGGACACTCCCCTAGGGGACCAGATGGAAGACTGGGACATATATGGTACAGTAGCCAATCACAGTGGCCCGTGTTTAAGCACTCCCCTTTACACAAGTAAATCCCTCCTCTCTATCCTGGAGATAATTGGGAAGAAATCCAATTATCTCCAAGGATAGAGGCAAAACGCCATCTTACATGGTATATAAAAAACACATAACAATGCATAACTGTACAAATACCGAATACATTGGATTCGTGTAACGTTTCCCCAGATAGCCTGGATCTGAGTGCATATTACTACCGAATAAGATCCAATGCACACAGTTCAATCGCCATGGAGTCAAAGTCTTTCACATGTCTTTCGGTATACGATTGACTCCATGGGATGGCTATCTGGGTTAAGTCCATTCATATCATCCAAACTCCCGAACAGACCGGTGTTAGCATGCCTCGGCGACCACTGCTGGTCTTTCGCGTGTTTAAAATGGCCGCCGCCTCGTGGTCGGCATGCGAACGGCGACCACCCTGCATACGGTTGGAATGAAGAGGTGTCTGCGGTTAACCACAACGTTCTAATTGGGGCCAAGAGGTTAACCAGTAGCACACGTCTCTTCTGGGTGGCCGTCCGTTCGGTAGTTTTGTTCGGTATAATTCTGTAATAAACTAACAGGGGCATACGGACAGGTAATTCCACAAAGGGAGGCAAAACAGACAAACCAGCAATACTAATCATACAGATGGATCTGTCACATGGGGGTATACCTAAAACAGCTTGTAATAGCTGCAGATCTCTTGTCTGCAGTATTTGCAAGGCCTCCCCTTGTAACCCCGCCCAGACTTTCTGTGGCTGTCCAATCACAGACTTCCCAATGCAGCTCAATGAGAAGTCTTTCCAAGGCAGGTGCTCCGGGCAATTGCTGCCTCTTGAGTTTATCTCCCCTGAGCTAAACAAACCAGGAAGTAACAGGACGGGGTTGATTGACAGCCAGGGAGTGTAACAAGGTTATTTTATAAAACTGCCAATTTATATTGAAATCTGTACTTTATGTAAAATAAAACGAGGACACAGTCTTTACACATAAAACTTTTTAGCCTGGAGTGTCCCTTTAAAACACCAACTGATGGTACACCACAACATTATCACACCATTATCACATTATCACACCATTATCACATTATCACACCATTATCACACCATTATCTCACTACATCACATCATTATCACACCATTATTACATTATCATGTCATTATTACATTATCACATCATTATCACACCATTATCACATTATCACACCATTATTACATTATCACACCATTATTACACCATTATTACACCACTATCTCACTACATCACATCATTATCACACCATTATCACATTATCACACCATTATTACATTATCACACCATTATTACACCATTATTACACCACTATCTCACTACATCACACCATTACCACACCATTATTACATTATCATATCATTATTACATTATCACATCATTATCACACCATTATCACATTATCACACCATTATTACATTATCACACCATTATTACACCATTATTACACCACTATCTCACTACATCACATCATTATCACACCATTATCACATTATCACACCATTATCACACTACATCACATCATTATTACACCAATTATTACATTATCACACCATTATTACATTATCACATCATTATCACACCATTATCACATTATCACACCATTATTACATTATCACACCATTATTGCACCATTATTACACCACTATCTCACTACATCACATCATTATCACACCATTATCACATCACACCATTATAACACCATTATCACACCATTATTACACCACTATCTCACTACATCACATCATTATCACATTATCACACCATTATTACATTATCACACCATTATTACACCACTATCTCACTACATCACATCAGTATCACACCATTATCACATTATCACACCATTATCTCACTACATCACATCATTATCACACCATTATCACACCATTATTACACCATTATTACACCACTATCTCACTACATCACATCATTATCACACCATTATCACATTATCACACCATTATCACACTACATCACATCATTATTACACCAATTATTACATTATCACACCATTATTACATTATCACATCATTATCACACCATTATCACATTATCACACCATTATTACATTATCACATCATTATCACACCATTATCACATTATCACACCATTATTACATTATCACACCATTATTGCACCATTATTACACCACTATCTCACTACATCACCTCATTATCACACCATTATCACATTATCACACCATTATTACACCATTATCACACCATTATTACACCACTATCTCACTACATCACATCATTATCACATTATCACACCATTATTACATTATCACACCATTATTACACCACTATCTCACTACATCATATCAGTATCACACCATTATCTCACTACATCACATCATTATCACACCATTATCACACCATTATTACACCACTATCTCACTACATCACATCATTATCACATTATCACACCATTATCACACTACATCACATCATTATTACACCAATTATTACATTATCACACCATTATTACATTATCACATCATTATCACACCATTATCACATTATCCCACCATTATTACATTATCACATCATTATCACACCATTATCACATTATCACACCATTATTACATTATCACACCATTATTGCACCATTATTACACCACTATCTCACTACATCACACACCGCTATCTCCACTACATCACATCATTATCACATTATCACACCATTATTACATTATCACACCATTATTACACCACTATCTCACTACATCACATCAGTATCACACCATTATCACATTATCACACCATTATCTCACTACATCACATCATTATCACACCATTATCACACCATTATTACACCATTATTACACCACTATCTCACTACATCACATCATTATCACACCATTATCACATTA